TACTTTGCATCGTATACGATCCTACTATAGTTAAAGATTCTTTGTTTCCTTAACTGAGATAATAATTATGTTCCTTCATAAACTTTTGGAATACATACAGGATGTCCCGGTACTTGATACAAAAAATTCGAGTACAGATAGATGAGGTCAAAATAATATCAGTTCTTCACATACATTTTTTCCATACGGGCTTTCGTTAACAAGTTACGGGCCCTTAAAGTTGAAAATTAAAATCTTATTTTTATTTACTCTAAACTATTAACTTCTGCATGATGTAAATTTGGTGATCGATAACACATGCGTGCAGCCCGTTTTTGATATAATAAATTAAACTTCATTATGCCCAGAACGTCGGAGACGGACTATGCCCAATGGTTAACAACCCAGAATTTTTGCATAGATGACGATCGCAATCTGCCTGTATCAAAAATAAGTTCCCTGAAGAATTTGTCAACGATAATAACCTCTTAGTTCAACTCGGTAAAATTAATAGTTTAGGAAATATTTGTCATTTTATATCACAGTGCACTCGAGAGGCTCCTCCACCATTTTTTGTATTTAATTTTTAATTGCACTTAATTACTATGTTAGAAGCGTACATATTTTTAATATAAGATATAATATTTTAACAAGAGCCTAGAAGATCTTACTGTGTGCTAATGTAACTTTCACTAACAAAATTTGAAAAACACACTTTACACATAAAAATAAGTAAAAAAAATAATTTAAAAGAAAGAAAACTGTCGACATCCATTTTCAATATGGGCACCTTCCACCTCCACACAATTCTTAAGAATACGAATGTTATTTGTTTGTACATGAAAAAGCATTTCTGTGGTAAAAATTTAATAGGTCCATACATCTGAATGGACATCGATATTTGGAGTTTTTGCAAAATAATTTGCAGCCACTATTAGATGATGTTCCATTAGACACCCGAAGAAACGTTTGGTTCATGCACAATGGGGCTCCTCCCCATTTCAATCTTGATGTACGAAATTATTTATCCATGATTGGGAGAGGAGACTCGATTTCATGACCACTACATTCTCCAGACTTTAACCCGATGGACTTCTTACGTCGGGATACTTGAAAAGTTTAGTGTACGTAACTCTAGTACAGACAAGGGCTGAATTGCTACAAAGAATTAATTTCAATTGTAATAATATTAGACCTATGTACTTCAGAAATGCTTTTTCGTGTACAGACAAATAACATTCGTAGACTTAGGAAATATGTGGAGCTGAAAAGTGCCCATATTGAAAAAGTATTTTGATAGTCTTCCTTCTTTAAAATTATTTTTTTAACTTACTTTAACATATTCTTGTTTTGTTTTTCTATTTTGTGTTAAATGTAAAGAGTATTTGTCAAATTTTGTTAGTGAAAATTACATTAGCACACAGTACGATTTTCTAGGCCTTTATTAAAATATTATATCTTATATTAAAAATATGTACGCTTCTAACATAGTAATTAAGTGCAATTAAAAATAAAATACAAAAGAATGGTGGAGGCGCCTCTCGAGTGCACTGGGACATAAAATCACAAATATTTCCTAAACTGTTATTATCGTTGACAAATTCTTCAGGGAACTTATTTTTGATACAGGCGGATTGCGATCGTCATCTATGCAAAAATTGTGGGTTGTTAACCAATGGGCATGATCCGTCCCTGGCGTTTAATGAAGTTTCACCAAATTTGCATCATGCTGAAGTTAGTAGTTTAAAGACTAAATAAAAATAAGATTTTAATTTTCAACTTTGAGGCCCCATAACATGTTAACGAAGGCCCGTATGGAAAAAATTCATATGAAGAACTGATAATACTTTGACCTCATCTATATGTACTTGAATTTTTTGTATCAAGTACCGGGACACCCTGCATACAATTTAGAATATTGATATGAAATCTGAGGGCATTTCCTGTTTTGTTCCTGTATTTTTTGTATTTACGCGAAATCTTGACATCAAACGTGAATTTGAAAGTTGTCTTACACAATATACTTTTCTTTCTAAAGAATATATATTTAGGTGTCCTTGTATACCGTTAAGGACATTTTATTACATTTTGTAAATTGTTTATGAACGAATTTACAATAAAAAGTTGTATTTCTCGAAAATGTTTGTGACATTCCTCGTTTTATTCCTGTACTTTTCATATGTATATTCAAATGAATGATTTTGTAATAATATTTACCTATTGGCAGATGTAGATGCTTTTGCTATTTTGGAGTCGTTTGTACACTCCATGGGACTGGTATTATTTATACAATAATATTAAACTATACTATAACTAACAGTATTTAAAATACCTATATATCCACTGCCCCTCATCTCCCGATCTTCCCCTAGTGCTCGACCACGTACGCGCGCTCGGCCGTTTTTTAAAGCATGTTTGGAGGAATTTTTCACCTATTTTATCAGAAAATTACAATATACGTTTTGTTGTATTATACTTCTATTTTTTAAATCCGGTTAAAAATTAAAATCGGACCACCTCCAACGCATCCACAAATTTTGAAAATAGTGCATCAAAAAATTCAAATTGCACTTGTGTCAAAACTAATGGTTCGACAGCGCCTGCTTCGTGCTCGCTTAAAGTACATATAATTCACTACTTTTGTGCACACTGAAAGGATTTATTTGGACTAAATAAATATCGTTTGACATGAACTAATCCTAGTTTTGGATATTGCCTAGCATATATATTGTGAAAAGTAACTAATAATAAGTTCATAGTTTTGTAATAAATCTTATTTGAATGTTAATTTATTTTTAGTGTAATATCACATTTCGCCTCTTTATTATTAATCTACATGTTTTAAGATGTAGATGACATAAGATTATTAGAAATATATCTTAGCTTAATGTGAACTAACAGTTTTTCAGTGAAAATAGGTTATTTTAATATTAATAAATGAATGGTTTATAAAAAGTGAATTGTTTTTTTTTTCGCTAAAATTGGACGTATTTCTTTCTTGATTAGTCTCAAAATTATGTACTTTCTCAAATTGAATTAAACTGATAATTAGATAACTTATCTAACTAAGTTTATAATTTTTGCAATGGTACATAGTGTTGAGATCTACCAATAGAGAAGCACATACGAGTATATACGATACTTTTATTCGAACATTTAAGATTTGTATTTCCGAACTTATTATATGCATACATATATCGATCAAAACTACTTGTCATAGTGTTGACAGTTTAATGATTAAAAATAATTGGCGGATTGTTAAATTGGGTTTTATTATAAATTTATGAAACTACAACAGCAACACTATGTCCTTATTTAAAACTGACTTTTTGACGATTATTACTTGTTTGACCCTAACTTTCACAGTTTCTGCATCCATTTTAATGATGAGTAAACGGAACACAGCACACAGCACTCTGTAACTATATGCACATGTTATATTATGAATATGATCTAAGAACAACAAGAAACACTACCTTTTGATATACTCGTAGTCCATACCGAGGTCCATACTAGCCTACTGAACTAAACAATACACTACAGGCAGCTTGCATACATAGTCGCCATGATGGCGAAGATACGACTGTCAGGGGAGAACACAACTTGGTCACGTGATTGGAATAATTTTTAAATAATATATTTTACTATTGAACTGATAATAGTTTTAAACTATATAAAAATTTAACTTTTATAACCAGCTGGTTCACATTTAAGAAATTATATATTTGGAATAATTTTCCTTTAAAGTTTAATTGTAACGTTAGATAGGCCAATATAAAATAATATTTATTAAATAAAAACGAATATAAATTTGTATTAAAAATTTATTCTTTTAATTCGCCTAACAAATATTCTAAAATCATAAATGGTTATATTAAATCTAATTTGTTAATTATAGACAAATCTGTTGCAAACTGTTTCTTTTTTTAATTCAAACAAATCAAATGACTTGTATTGAATGTAACTGGTTTATCTCAATGTAACTAGCATAAATGTAAACTAACTGCATTCAAAACAACCGATTCCTTTAATAGAAAGTAATTGTTTTTTCAGTGCACAGGGTCAGCTCTACAGCTTAAAAAATGAGGACGTATTTTCCGTTTTTCTGGGTTTTCTTCGTTTCTAATTATCCGATCATATCGATCGACCTCTGGTTTTATTTATATTTCCAGTCTATCCAATAATATTCAATTGCTTCTTTAGTTAACGTTTTTTTTGGTCAAAATTTTTATAAATAATTAATGGTAAATTGGTGTAGGAAACATATAAGCATTCTCGTCTATCTACAGACTGCTTTTTTATATGATGGCACAGTCCGTTTGCTGCTAGGATTTTTCTCACAAACAAAACCTCTATTGATTGGCCTATGCTGTATTTTTAATGTATTTCTGCGATTGTTTGGTAAATTTCATGTTGATACGTGATTTTCTTGAAGTGAATTACAATTTTTAATTAGCTTTTATAACTCTTTAATTAGCTTTTGTAACTTTTCACCTCCTTACAGCAACAAATTTTCAAATATTGTTGGCTGTTAATATCTCCATCCTGTCGACGACTTCTGGTATTATATATATTTAAGTATTTCTTGAACCATAGAAAATTTAACGATACGCCTATGAACGTTCGGGTATTCCCGGAAATTTAGTTGCTAACTTTTGGCTGCCAACACAGAAGGTTTTAATTAACTAGTACATAATGTAAATTATTGGAAAATCTATATTAACCATATTAAATGGTTGACTCTTCAGATACGTAACAAACGTTAATCAATCTTTGTATACTTAGATTTATTAGTAATTTATTCTTTTCACAAAACGGGATTGTTACAGTAAGTACATTTTACTACAAATTTTCTCTATCGGTAAAAGGCGCTTACTGGCTATGCACCGTAATTTTCTACTATTTCTCCATTTTCACACAAGTAGTGTGTCTAGACAATGCCTTTGTACTAGTGCGTAACATTAACATTTTAGATTTAGACTCGGTCAGAATAGAGAAGAGAAGATCAATAACTAATCATATTTGTAACTTAAACATAATTTACTAAACTCAACAATATTTTTAACAAATTATACAGGCTCATACTCAAAATCTATTGATCTTAAGAACATAAACGCAAGTAACAGTAGCGATGATCCTAATAAATCACCCAAGGCCGTTAGGTAAGGTATAGCCGAACTGTCCGGATCCATCTTCAAAATCCACATTAGGTGGATCATTATGTGGGCGATGTATAACAGCAGCATTAGCTGGATGAGACCAACAGCTATATATGTCAGCACGAACACGTAGGTAACGGCCATTATCCCATTGTACATATAGTCTGCTGCGAATACGAACACTAAATGACCTAAAATTGACATCGCGATAAGTATTCTTGCCGTCTTCGCTGGAAGCACTGTAACAAAAATAATTCATAAATAATTTATTTTTTATTTCATACGCAAATGTGTGCTTTTTACTTGGATGGATTCTTATGGATTATGGATTCTTATTAATTAAAGGAAACCCCACAAAATTTTTTATTTTAACGTTTTTTTTACGATCATTTCAGAAGCGGCACTATGATATTAATTTTGTTACACAAAAATGTTAAAAAAGATACTTCCCAAATTCTTGTATTATTAACATTTTATTGAAATATGATCAACTTACAATGTTTACAAATTAGAAAAGTAGGCAAATTTTCATATTTGGTAGTTTCCATATGGATTCAGCGAACAAAAGAAATCGAATTTTAAGTTTTTTTTTAAACTTTGGATGTTAATCTGCTTTGAATTTTATGAGACCCGTGTTATTTATTTTAAGGAAACAATCTCGCCATTTTGACATATTTGGGGCGTCGGACTACTCGTACGCTGCATGATTTTTGTCGGACAAGTTGACCATTGTTTGTTTTACAAATTACTTAAGCAATTTACACAAAGTGCAACTTGCATGTATAAGGATACATAATGACGCCATTTTGACATTTTGGGGATGGTGGACAAATGGGAACGCGGCATGATTTTTAACGGACAAATACTTTTTTAATTGTTTTGTCACAAAAACTGATCATTTCGATAAAAAATAAAATTGCATGTATCGCATTGTATCATAGCGTCAGAACGACAATTCCCGGAATCGCTCGTTCGAAAACGCGGCGACGCCGAATATTTTCGAACAGGAAAAGTTTGTCGGACTCGTTATGAAGAAGGCACTCGCAAAGTTTGGCTCTTGCATGTATCACTAAAAAGCAATGAGTGATGTACTGTGGCCTATACGTTTTTTAGAAATTTGTTTTAATTAGCCTAACTTGATTTTAACGGGGAAATATTATATTGAAGTATCTAACAGTGCTGAGAATGAAGTTTTTACAAAATAATTACCTCCTCTGAATAGGGCAGTCCAAGGAGCAACCCACTGTTTTGTGTGCGGTGGAATGACGCCCTTCATAGACGTTTTATGTAGCATAGTTGAAATACGGCTTGCCTGAACGGACACCAAATTTCCTCCAATTCCATTAATGATCGGTTGAAAAACTTCATATCCTTTGAACTGGTCTACTGCACTGTCCAGAACTAAGCCACCAGATCTGTAAAATTTAACTGTTTAATAAATACTAGAAAGACATTACTATAGAATGAATCAGGTAGATCGGTAAGGAAACTTTGTTTACTAAACTTGGAAAAATGTAAAGTTTTTGCATTTTTTTGCAAATATAATAATCAGTATAATGAATTCACGATACTTTAGACCAAGAAGTTTGATGTATTCCTGATTACTTATGTCACTGTATCATTATTTATATCATTACCTAAGACAGATAAATTTGAATTTGTTGTAGTAACGCTGGTGTCATCTGCGAAAAGTATATTTATAATAAAAAAAATTAAAATTTAAAATTTTACTTTTAAAGAGTTAGGTAGATATTTTGCATAAATTAAAAAAAGGAAAGGACTCTACGGGGCACCATATCTTACTTCCAAAGTACTTATTTCTAAATAACATACTGAAATCTGTTATGTTGATTAAATAAGATATATGCCTTCGTTTGAAAAACCATGAAAATACAATTTTTTATTAAAATTTAATGCAAGACACGGTTGAAAACTTTAGTTAAATCTAAGAAGTGAGTATGAACGTCATTAATTATCCCGAATCCGTTAGTTGTAAATGATACTAACAATAATTAATTCCTGATGTGGTTGGTAAATTATTCCAAAATGCTTGTTGCTGAGAGCTGAAGAGTTCAAATATTCCCATAAGTGATGTAATTTGAACTTTAAGAATGCTTTCAAATACATACCCTGGGTCTGTAATCGCTAATATAATTATTTTTATAAATAGGGACCACTCTTGGACAGGAAATCTAAACGTTTTATTCAAAGATAATCATTTAATCCCCTTTGAGGCGAAATGCTTGGATTCTGTTGTAAATATTTCGTGGGTATATCTTATCTCAAGAGTACTTTGTAGTCTGCATTGTTTGCAATACTATCAGATGGACAGAAAGATAGCCATCGGTCATCAATCATCAGAGCACAACGTAAATTAACAGTGACATTAGTAGATCATCAGAATCAGATTAGAGTTGAACAAGTTTAGAACTACAGTTCGTTACTCAGTACGATATGTAACTTTGTCCTGTCAAAATTTCATTTCTCAATACAAAATGCTTAAAAAATCTTTAAATTTCAAGCTTTAAAGTTTCCAAGGAATGTTAAGATAAGCTATGCTAAGATTTATAGCGTTTATGTGTATCCAACCGTGAAATGTAGCCTCCGTACAAATTGACGAAACTGGAAGTAAATATTTAGACATTTAACCCCATTCAAAGTTCAGTCTGTATAAGATATACTAATGAGTACAAATGAACTAATGTACACCATCTTTGGTGATTGGAAATATTTATTTGTACATGAAGGTGAACAGAACAGCCTTTTTTGATGTGTTAATTTTGCTATTAATTGTTATATGATCATACTTTAATTTCTTTTAATTCGCAAAATTTGTCTAAAGCAATAATTCTTTCATTTATCAATACCCTTTCATACTTTTCCAAGATACAAAAAAAATTCACAACATAATGCTGTCTTTTAAAAAACATATAGTTTCGTGCAGAGACATCGATAGATTAGAAGATATACAGGGTGTGCCATTTAACATACCCACTGCCAATATCTCCGAAATGAAGAAATTTATTTTAGTTCCGGAAATTGGGGTTATTAGGTCCCTCGAATAGCTTCAATTTGTAGTTAGAATTGTTAGTTCAAATCCTTCTGTATAGATGGCGTGGCGATACTAAAAAAATTTTTGTTCCCTGGAACGTGGAAATACAGTCCATCTGAAAGATCGTTAAATTTTGAGTAAGTTTTGTAATATAAGTTTTTTTCCTATATTTACTTGTTTTTGAGATATGTCGACTTCAATATGCAATGTATGATATAAGAGCAGAATCTATTACAAGGGTCGGCAACTGGCGGACCGCGGTCCAGGTCCGAACCGCGGAAGGTAAAACACCGGACCGCCAAAAATTTTTTGATAGTATAAATTACTCAAATAAATTATTAAAAAAATGTTTTTTACGTTTAAGTGTCAATCTTATCATTTTTTCTAGTATTTTACAATTGTGTGAGTATGTGAGTTCTTAATGGTTAGTAAGCAAATTAAATTTGAGTCCAAATTAAAATAAAAAAATAAGAAATATGAATTTTTTTCTGGATCTCGTTAAAAATTTTCAAAAGTATCCGGACCCCACCTAAAATTACTTGCCGACCCCTGATCTATTATTTTATTTAAATCACACTGAGACAAAATATTCTTTTAAAATATTGTTATAATGGCTTTATTCACATCACATACTAACTAACAAACAGTAAATTATAAAAAAAACGAATGATCGACTACAAAAAAATTGTACAATGGTAAATCTTATAAGGAGCAGAGACGAACCGTATTTTATCAAATGTTATTAAAAAATGTAGTCATAGGTGGCTCATGTCATTTGTTTAAAATAAAACAATGACAGATGACATATATTAGTTTTCCAATAATTACAGTTTTATCAGTTTGCGTCTTTCAATTTAACTATACTAGTTATACGATTTACCATTGCATAATTTTTTTTCTGTAGTTGATAATTTGTTTTTTTATAATTTATTGTTTGTTAGTAAGTATGTGGTGTGAATAAAGTCATTATAACAATATTTTAAAAAAATACTTTGTCTCGAGGTGATTTAGATAAAATAATAAATTTTCCTGTTATATCATTCATTGGATATTGAAATCGACATATCGAAAACAGGTAAAATAAGGAAAAACTTTATTTATAAAAAAAATACTCAAAATTTAACGAACTTTCGGATGAACTTTTCCACGTTCCAGGGATCAAAAAAATTTTTAGTATCGACATGCCATCTATACAGAAAGATTTGAACTAAGAATTCTAACTACATTTTGAAGCTATTCGAGGGACCTAACAACCCCAATTTCCAGAACTAAAATAAATTTCTTCATTTCGGAGATATTGACAGCAGGAGTGTTAAATGGCACACCCTGTATATTAAAGAAAAAACATTATCAAGTTGCTTTAACTTCGTAAAATAAGAAGGCGGAATAGTTTATTAGAGGTATTTGTCTTAATTGCCGACGAATATCTTGTAGAAGTTTGGCAGCTGAATTAAGAGACACCCTCTATTAAGCTTTTCCTCGAATCCGTAGTAAAAAATATACATATTTCATAATACTATTACATGTAATTTGCTCACCCACTGATGACTAACGCAGTAAGTACAGGCGTCCAACCGTTACTTAGAATTTTGCAGGTGTAATGGTTCTTTCTGACAATCAGTATCCAAATAGGTAGCAGGATGCATAAGTAGCACCCAAGAATCACACCCATAATCCAGGGATATTCATCTATAAAAAAGTCGTTTAAATACTAATTTTTTAAATTAAATGTACCATTCTGCCAGATATAAATTTTTATATTTTACAAAGTGTAATTTTAATTAATTGGATGTATTAATGGAAAACTATTTTATCAATTATGAAATTTAGACTAGACCAGTGGCAAATTTTTGTTTGAGCGAATGATCGTGACATCACTGTATTATACATTAGGTATATATACATACATATAAGTATCAACAATATTATAAAATGCATTTAATCAATGCAGAATATATTTTTTTTGCCTTATTAGTTTTCTTTGATAATTGTATTTTTTTGTTTTGTACCTTTTCCTTTCTTTTTCTTTCATATACTTTCTATTTTAACTTTATCTTGCTCAGCTTTTCGATAATAATTTTGCTTTTCCGTCTTTTTATCATTGACTAGTAGGTTCTTGTTAATAAAGAGCATTTTGTTAAATTGAGACGGAAGCTTATTTCATTTTATATAATTAGAACTGTTTCTAACGATTACAATTGCTTTTGTGAAGTTATTTTGCTAGATTATGCACAAACGATCTAGCTGTTGCAGTCAGTTCTTTAACGCATTAAAGATATACGTCTGAGCACAAATGGTAAGAAGCAAAGCAAAGACTGACCAAAAATATAGATGCTACGTCTCGAAACAAATCTGCAATCGTATGGTTTTGTTTGGTTTTTGCATTGCGTCGTACTCATTCGTACCAGGATGTATGATTACTAATTTATATATTTAGTAACAGTTAACTTCTTGTAAACCGACGTGACATTCATTATCCTAATTAAAAAATGTGTCAAAATTGATCAACCAACCGAGGATTGATTCTTTAAGCCACGCTGTCAGAAAAATCAAAGGGGCTGACACTTGCCCATAAATTTTGACGTTTGTAGGCAGTCAGGATCCAAGGTGCGTTACGATCGATTTCCTTAGATCTGATAAATTACGCATTTATCATTATTGTTTGTAACTAATTAGTGATTTATACAATACATACATACAATACATTATATTTATACAAAAACACAAAAATACTAATAGCTAACAGACTGTGCCATCATATAAAAGGCAGTCTGTAGATATATGCTTATACAGGGCTATCCAAAAGTCCTGGTACGGCAGAAAAACTTTCGAAGAATGCATTTTGAGAAAAAATATTTCAGACAAAAGTGTAAGGATTTTTCCCTGGCTATCTCATGGTGACCTTGGATTTGACCTTGACTTTAACGTTCAAGGTCATTTGCAGTCAAGTTAAGTTTTTTTAATGGGAACCCCTATTTTTTATTGCGGATTTGGAAAGAGCAGGAAATTTTGACTACGACTTTGACAATGACCCTCAAGATCATGTCAGGTTAATTTATCTACATTAAATATTATTTTTTTAATAAGTTAAGGAGAACGGAAAAACAAATGTACGAATATGACCATAATCAAGCTCTTGCCTTGAACCAGTATTTGAAGGTCATTTTAAAAAGATTTTTTGAGGCAAGGAGATAGCCTGACCAGTTAAGACAAGGCTAACGATCCCGGACAGTTAAGATATGGCTAACAATCTCGGCCAGTCAAGACAAGGCTACACGCTACCTTGCCTTAATTGGCCGGGTATACACACCACCTTATCTTAATTGGTCGGGACTACACGCTACCTCGCCTTAATCCGCAATAAAAAATAGGGACTCGCATTTAAAAAACTTAGCTTGACCTTCAGATGACCTTGAAGGTCAAAGTCAAGGCCAAATTCAAGGTTCCCTTCAGATAGCCAGGTAAAAATCCGTACACTTTCGTCTGAAACATTTTTTCCTAAAATGCATTCAAAAGTTTTTCTGCCGTACTGTGACTACTGGATCTCGACCCACATTTGACCTTGAAGGTCATTGTCAAAGTCATGGTCAAGACCATATTTGGACGTAAAATTTCCTGCTCTTTCCAAATCCGCAATAAAAAATAGGGGGTTCCATTTAAAAAACTTAGCCTGACCTTCAAATGACCTTGAAGGTCTAAATCAAGGTCATACCCAAGGTCACCTTCAAATGGCCTGGGAAAAATCCTTACACTTTTGTCTGAAACATTTTTCCCAAAATGCATTCTTCGAAAGTTTTTCCGCCGGATCAGGACTTTTGGATATTTCCTACTCCAATTTACCACTATAGTCCAGACGGCATCTGTTTCAAAGAGTCCATATTTGGGTGAATCGTATATCCACGGAGATTTTTGGCTTTTGTGCTTTAAAATATCACTAAAAATGAAAATATTTCTATGCGCATAAAAAAACGTGGGCTTATCTTTTGGCGGCACAATATGTTAAAAAAATCGAAAAATGTCATATTTTTCTTCCTATTTAATTATGTATCTTTTCAACAGTTGATTTTAGGCGAAAATGGAAAAGGAAAAAATGTTTGTAATTAAATTTTACAAAACATGTCTAGTTACAAATCGAATGAATCATGATTATTATTCTAAAAATCGAAAAAATCGCCAAAAATGGGGTTAAAAAACGTTACTTTTTAGGGAATTTTGTTGGGGTCTTTGTTGGGTATAGGACCTTCATACTTGGCTCAAGAAAATATCATGTTATGTAGAATCATCACGCCAAATTTCACCAAAATCGGTTAGATAGATTTTGCATAATAATTTTGCAATCCAGATTTTGAAAAAAAATTGCAAATTTTCAAAATTTTACACAGCAAAAACCAAGGCCCTTAGATACTTGAAAATGTAATCACGTATAGAAGGGCTCTCAAGCTTTTAAACGCTTTTTGAAAAATTCGAATCCGTCAATTAGGAGAGCTCTGGCGCTTGTTTAAACATTGGTCGAATTTTTGTACTAACTTTGTATTTTGGAATGTAATGAGTTAATTTCTTATTTGCTTATATTTTAAACAGTAAATAATATTTGAATTATACTTTAATCACAAAAGAAATGATGATAAAATAATTGTTGTTTAAACAATTTTAGAATATTTTTGATAAACAGTATATAAGTTTATGCAGTTACCTTTGATACAATATAAAAGTAAAGTTGATAATTACGGGAAGTTTAAAGATAAATAATTATCGGACTGTTGAAAGACCAATAATTATTAACGATAGGCATTTGAAAATATGCTAATTGTTTTTTTTTTAATCTCGAGACATTGATTTTTAAAAAATCATCAAAATTGGACCTCTAGAAGCTGAGATATTAAAAATTTTTAAAAGCGTAGCAGTTTTGAACTCGCCGATTCAATTTTGAGCAGGCAGAAGCGGCCGCGGTCTCTGCTGCCCCACCACCACCACCCGTACGATTTTCTTGAATTTCTCGCTTGCATAAATAACTTTAAACGCGTTTTAAAGTAGGTTGCCAATGAAGAAAAGTATTGCATACTTAGACCTGGTAAGTACTCAGATTACCAAAGGTATTTTTCGAAAAATTAGTGTGAATGACGGTTAACTTTGATCGGCTATAACTACGTAACTAATTGACCAATCGATCTGTTTTTTTTTTTAAAGAAGCGTCTTTCCAATAACTTTTAAAACCTGCAAAATTTGATTTAATTGAATATTCACAAAGTTATTCTAATTGTTCATAAGTACAAAAATTCGACCAATGTTTAAACAAGCGCCAGAGCTCTCCTAATTGACGGATTCGAATTTTTCAAAAAGCGTTTGCAAGCTTGAGAGCCGTTCTATATGTGATTAAATTTTCAAGTATCTAAGGGCCTTGTTTTTTGCTGTGCAAAATTTTGAAAATTTGCAAAATTATTATGCAAAATCTATCGAACCGATTTTGATGAAATTTGGTGTGATGATTCTACATAGCATGAACTTTTCTTGAGCCAAGTATGAAGGTCATATACCCAACTTAAAGACCCCAAAAAAATTTCCTTAAAAAGTAATGTCTTTTAACACAATTTTTGACGATTTTTTCGATTTTTACAATAATAATCATGATTCATTCTATTTGTAACTAGTCATAATTTGTAAAATTTAATTACAAACATTTTTTTCCTTTTCCATTTTCGCCTAAAATCAACTCTTGAAGAGATACATAATTAAATAGGAAGAAAAATATGACTTTTTTCGAATTTTTTTAACATATTGTGCCGCCAAAAGTTAAGCCCAAGCTTTTTTTATGCGCATAGAAAAATTTTCATTTCTAGTGATATTTGAAAGCCAAAAAGCCAAAAATCTCCGTGGATATACGATTCACCCAAACCAAAACAGATACCGCCTAGTCTACTAATAAATTTTTTATAAACATTTTCATACAAAAACGCATTTTTTTAGTTTTTTGCTTATAAAGCTGATCCTAATGAAGCAATCTTATTGCAATAAATAGACAATGTGTAGAGAATCGAAATATGAATAAAATGAGAGGTTGATCGATCCGATCAGATAATTAGAAACGAATAAAACCCGGAAAAACGGAAAATTTAACGTTTTTTTACTAATTCATTACTCCGTCATTTTTTAAGTTGTAGAGCTAACCCTGTGCACAAAAGTAGTGAATTACATGTACTTTAACTTATTCTTGTTTTGTTTTTCTATTTTGTGTTATGTATAAAGAGTGTTTGTCAAATTTTGTAGGTGAAAATTACATTAGCAGACAGTAAGATTTTCTAGGCTCTTATTTTAAAAATATATACAGTTATGACATAATTGTTATGTCCAATTAAAAATTAAAAACCAAAAATGGTGGAGGCGCCCCGCGCATCGATGTGCAATATGACAAAATCACAAATATTTCCTAAATTGTTAATTTTACCGAATTGAACCAAGAAGGTATTATCGTTGACAAACTCTTCAGGGAATTTATGTTTGATACAGGCAGATTGCGATCGTCATCTATGCAAAAATTCTGGATTGTTAACCATTGGGCATAGTCCGTCCCTGGCGTTCTGGGCATAATGAAGTTTCACTTACACCATCAAAATCAGGCTGTACGCATGTGTTATCAATCACCAACTTTGCGTCATGCTTAATTAATAGTTTTGAGACTAAATCATGTTCTC